CCCCCCCCCTCCCCACTGACCCTGACAATCCTCCACAGTCGCACAAGACATCGGCGACACCACCAAACACTGCTGCAGCTGCTCTGAGCCTGCCAGTGATTTCTCTTTTTTTAAGTTGTCAGTGTGATCCATGACTTACCTGAGTAATGGTAGCTGGACAAATGATGAGACTTGGGGAAGATTGGGTCTCTCAGCATCAACATGGAAAGAGCAGCCTGAAAAAGAAAACAATTATTTGGTTCAGTGGCTTTATGAAAGCAATAAATGGAATAAACATCATAGTTTTACTGAAAATCCTGCAGTGCATTAAGTCATAATTAGACTCCTTTAGCATCAAAGTAGAATGTAAGTGTGTGCTCTTTGTAGAAAAACCATGGGACTGCTGCAGAGAGTAGGGCCTCTGACACCCCCACCCCGGCCCTCAGAGCTGGTGACTAAGGTCTGAAATCTCCACCAGTCTGATACTCTGCATCGAGCTGCAAGGCATCTTCTGCGTGCACCTTTCCAGCTACAAGTTCTGAATATAAAGATTTTAGAGATCTGAGGCTGAGATCTGCTGCTCTGATTAAACAGAACCAAAACAGATTCACATCTTCAATGGTTTTCTCCTGTAATGCAGAAAGAAGTTGGTTTGATTCAACAGGGTTTAAAACTGTAACCTAATATTTAAAACAAAACTATTTTAATTTGTGCATCTTTTTCAAAAATCTGAACATTTGGTGAAATTATTGACAATAATGCTGCCATGCATTTCACTTTATTACTAACATCGACCATTTGAAGGAGGACGCTCTGAAGGAGGTGACCCACTCGGCCATGTCAGACACAATCTGTGTGTGTAAACTCCTACAAAGCTAGTTAAAAACACAGCTGGTAGCCCAGTATCACTGTTGTTAAAGTTGATTTATCTGTAAAAACGGTCGGTGTGTTGCTCGGTCAGCTACACATGATAAGAAAAACAAACCAAACCATTTGCCCTGAGTAAAACCTTTTGATGTTTTTAGAGTGCTGGTTATTCCTATTTTTTATATTTCTTCATAACCAGGCACCCATTTCCTAATTGCCCCCTTTTGTTTTACAGTGGAGATGTGTGCACTCCTTCCAGATACCTTTGGATGAGAACAGAAGATGGTAGTGCTGGGCGGTATACCGTTTTGTACCTAATACATGTTTTTATTTTTGTTATGATATGAATTTTTTGAATACCAGACATTCCGGTTTAAATAGCGGAACGTTTCGTCGCGGCCGCCAGTGAACTGTTGTTTCCCGGGGGACATTTTTCCTTGCTGCACCGCTATGTGCGTTAGAATGCTAATGTTTGGAGCAGCTAGTTGCAGCAGCGGGTGGCGATTCCTCTGCTTATATTGACTGACGTTTAAAAAAACATGCCGTTTTTGCCGTCGCTGAATGTAGTAAACAACTCTTCAGTGACGTGCACAGTTAGATTTAACGCGGTTAGTTAATATGGAGACGTTATGCTGATGGAGATTTAACGTGGTTTTATTGTGAAAAGCCTGCAGGAAGTAGTTCGTAGTGGAGTTGGAATTGACTGGTGTGCAAGGTGAGTCGTGCTGATAAGCTTTAATAAATAACATAAAACAATAAACCCGATCATAATCTTTTCTTAACCCTCCTCCTTCACGACTGGACCAAAATACATGACTACTGTCTCCAACCACCAGTCAAAGAACAGACACAGAGGAGGGAAACAGCGACACAGACAGAGGTACAGTAAAAGAAAAAACTCAATAAGCAGGGTTTGTGCATTTTATTATCAGCTGAGCTGTGATGAAAAGAAAAATACAGTCAAATACCGTGAAGCCGGTGAAAATGTTGAAAATACCGTGATATAAAATTTAGATCATATCGCCCAGCTCTAGAAGATGGCGAAAGATAGCAGCCATATTTTACAAGGTAAGAAGGTTAATGTTCAGATACTTCATAATAGTGTCAGACAATAATTCAATATTGATGTCAGGGTAGAAAATGTTTCAATAACTGTGATATGACTTTCAAAGAAATTCGATCAATAGACATCACACCAGTGCTCCCACTCTGTTTACACTAGACTATCTATAACACAGCACCACAATGAGCTCAACAACTGAGTGAACAAGCATTACAGCTGAAAAAGAAGCAGACAAAACAGTTGTTATATAAGAAAAGACTAAATTCAGTGGTGTGGACGATAAACTTCAGCTTTCAGTCCACTGTAAAATGTACTGAAGAGTTCGTCAAATCTGTTCCACCATCTGAAAAAGTTCCACTGATAATGAAGCCTCCTCTACTCAAAACATCCAGGTTGGCAAAAACAATTCTAGTCACTCGGTTCAACACTCCCCTCCATCACTTCCGACGTCCATCATGGCGCCTCCACGTGATTAGGTGACGTCAAAGAGTCAATATCAGTCCCTCTGAGATTATGCAGACATTGTTTGTGGTTGTTGTGACCCATAATGTGTGATATTAGTGCAGCTTCTTTGGAAAGTTGTGAATTTTCTTTAAACATGGTACAAATAAATGAACGTACAAAAATATAAATATAAAAAATAAGTCACAAGTAACAATTCTACAAAGAAACAGAATTTCTATGGTATTTCTGTTTTAAAACCTAGGGAAAAAAGTTTTTTTTCTAAAACTTTTATGCCTGGAAAAGACTGTATTTCAAATCTTAAACTTTTCCAGAATGTTTAAAACGGCAAGAATAATAAAACTCACCTTTAGCAAAAATATTTAAATGCATTCATGTGCCACCAACCCCCCAACTAATTATTAAGTATTTGACTTCATTCACATATTAATTAATAGAAGAAACAAATCATTATAATGACTGCATCCTTCACCGACAGAGATGGTACAACTGGGGAAATACCACTTATGATGCTGCCTCCAGCAGTTTAACCATTGCCTCATCCATTACAGAATGCACTCATTCACTTATGTTTGAGTGAACCGTATGTAAAACAATAAACTTCTTGTTGTTATTGCCTAATATAAAATGTTTTATGCAGCTGTCTCAAGTTAATCTCTGATGTCATTAGAGGTCCAAGTGTTCTGCAACAGAAAGGAGGCGGAGGTTGTTTCACTGCTGCAGCATGGGTGGGGCACTAATGGGCTTAAATTCATGGGGAGTCAATTACTAAGGATGGCAGTGAGGTTGTAAACATTTAGGCTTTGTTTTGACGGACAGATTTATGACTCAAATACCATTTCAGGGCTAGTTGCCCAAAAGCAAAATCTAGAAATATTTATGAAACAGACACATTTTCAGTTTGCTTCCACTTATAAAAGGACTGCAAATATTTCAAACGTGTCTAAAAAATATCTAAAACTCAAAAGCATCCTTGATTTTTTTTAAGTAAGCTAATAAAAATCATAGTTTCAGCAGTTGCAGCTCTACACAGAAGCATCAAGCCTGGGCTTAGAACAAAACAAGCTGTTGTACTACCAGTCATCTCAGATCACCACAGAGTTTCAGTTCAAAGCCGAGTGAAAATCTAGAAATCAGTCATTTCCTTTCAATAACCAGTTCAAGTCAAACATAAAACAAACTGAATTACTGCAGGCAGGTTCCTCACATGCACAGCTGAAAGTGTACCAAGCTAATGAAAGTAAGATTTGTTTTTGGTTAAATAATGTGAAAACTGTGAAAAATTCAACAAGTTTGTGCAACTAGGATGAAAAGTGTGCAGACGCTAAACTAATCAAAGAAATGCCAAACATGTTGTCTTTATTGACTGCTGTCAAAAGTAAAACAAGTTTTGCCTCCTATTTGTCTGTCAGCAACCACCAGATTTGAATAAAAAAATAATAATTAACTGGATGTAGATCTACGACTGAATAACTGCAATACAAATCAACATTAGCTGTTCTTAACCACACAAAAATAGTTATAAGTCATATTTACAGACATGTATCAACAAACTGTATGTGGTAGTAGCTGAGAGTCATCCCCAAAACATACTCCTTTTACTCCTCAAAACATACTTTTGTTCTAACATACTCCAAGCACTAACATCTTGTGAGACAATTAGTGCTGGGCACGTTAACGCGTTATTATTGTGTTAGCGCAGCTGACGCTCAACAGCGTTAGTTATTTTAACACACGTTAACGCAGGTATTTATTGTTTTATATTTCTCTGTCGGAACTCCGTTCACTGGATGGCTAACACACACAGACACAAACCCAGTGGTCACGGTGGGGAGGCGGGATCCTGATCACTTTTGGCTTTAGATGGCCTTCGTCGCGCTTCTCAACCAATGACAGGCTTGTTGTCACCAGATTAATCTGGGCATTTTTTTATTTGAAAACTTTTCCTGACGGCGGGCTGAAAAGAAGTAAAGTTCTCTATAAGCGCTGCAACGCTAAACCGTGTCACCACCGGAGCAGTTTGAGCCTGAAATATCACTTCGGTTTAAAACCAGTGTAAACAAACAAAGGGACGTTCTGCAGACGAGGCTAACCAGGTGTTGGAGAAAAAAAAGAGAAAAACGTAAGACTGGCTTGCTTTGCTTTGCTTATTTAGTTTTAAAAAATGCATTGCCCCTTTTTTATATGAAACAATACCTAAAAAATGCTCTAAACATCTTGGAGTCATAGTTACAGTTTGTGCATAATAATAATCAAGAAATTTATATCAAATTTATCATTCCTAATAAAAACTACATTACATACACATACTAAAGTAATTGTTTCTATTAAAAATAAATTGCGATTAATTGCGTTTAAAATTTTTAATCTATGCCCACACTAGAGACAATTTAACATGATGTACAAGGTTTGACCAAAATGTATGATAGATAGATAGATAGATAGATAGATAGATAGATAGATAGATAGATAGATAGATAGATAGATAGATAGATAGATAGATAGATAGATAGAT